AAACCAACAGTTGTTGTTAAGCACAAACTTTTATGGTGAGCTATCTCTACTGTGCTAATCGCATGGTTCGAACCCCGAATTTCAGCGTTTTAAGCCCTCAAGTTTTCCGCTTAGCTAATGTGGGAGAAGGAGAAACAACATGTATTGAATGTAATATAATTTGTAACGTATATGTTATGAGATATTTCATTCTCTATTTTTTAAAAAGGCTCAATGACTCTTCTGTATTGTTTAGATACGCCTATAGTGGGGTTAGTATATTTATTTATATGAGTGCTGAAGTCTATTTTATAAGGACATCCAATTCGTTTAAAACATTAAAATTTTACTTGGCAAAACTAGTTCTATCTAGGGGCAGACAATTAAATACTTTGCTAAAGTAATCGCGATTTAGTTTCTCACCTTGACCATGTAAAAATATCTTCCCAAGGATTATACCAACAGAGAATTGCAGTAACACTTGAAACTACAACAGTAAGTTATGCATACATATCGATAATATATACGTCCTGTATACAAGAGGTAGACAAAGGTCTACTGGCCCAATTTTATCTATGTGTTAGTAATGTCTGCTAGGATGTTTGAAAATGTAAAAAGTAATGTAAGCGGTAAAGTTAGAGGAAACGTTAAGGTAATGGCTTAGAAAAAATATTCGTTTATCTTTAAATAAAACTCTTATTCTTCTGGTTATAAAGAGCATCTCGTTTCAACCTGATCCCCTTAATTTCTTTATAAAACAAGGTCTAGCTCAGGCACGTATCCCACTATTTATAGCCTACTTCGTAATGACTGCTTCTTTGCAAGTATAAGCCAGGGTCTCAAATTCAGTCATTAACCACATTTTTACAGCTATATGGACAGATATTTTGGTTTTACATCTGATACAATGTTTGCTCTTTTCTCATTATATCGTATACTTATCTGTGTAACAAATCATATTTATTGCTTGCTTTCCTTACATGATATATTAACCTAAACTCGAACGCCTTTTTTTTTGTGACATTATTATATCTGGTTTGTAGGTTGTTGTTTTTTTGTACTACATATTTTCGTATTATACTTAGTATAACGACTTTTTTGCTGACGGAATGGAAAATTTATTGTGCAGTTCGTAATTACAGATTTTTTTAAATATGCTTTTTAAACATTAAATACACGAGCAGTTGAAGTTCATGAATACATAAAAATGAGCCTCATTGATAATAAGGATAAAAAGTATACTTTGATTTGTTTTGTAACTTACCATCACAGTTGAACTTTAGAAACAGATTTGTGAAATATGAGATTCACGTGGTAACACTTATCCTCAGCTATTAAAGGTTAGCTGGAATAATTCCATAAATATATTTAACGGTACGATCACAAGTTACCATGTTTTGATGAACACACATAATATTTCCGTATATTCGGATGTCAAACTTTCGTTTTCTCACTACGCAACATTCTCGTCTTAGATAGTTGATCAATGTTTGACAAGAAATCATAAACACAATTTTCACTTAGTTTGTTTCGTTTGAGTTGTTACGCATGATATTTTAGCCTTAACTGATTCATAGCAGTATGACGTACAAAATGCAATTTTCAAGTTACTCACTTTATTAACTTTAACCACTAACAAATCCACCTCACAAAACAACGAAAAACTTTTACACACACAGTAATATACATTCAAAAAATATACATTTAAACTTTAAATTAACTGCATCTATCACATATGAAGGGAACTCCTTCCAAAGGCCAACCATCCTATTAAGAAAATAAAGATGTCTTAGCTGAAGATGACCCATACTCTATTAAAATTTATATTTGTGTCTCCTAGTTTCCATTCTCACTATTAATTACGAAAACAGATGATGCATCAACAATAAGTTACCTTAACAATCTTAAACATCTCAATCGTATTCCCTTTAATTCTTCTTGTTTTCTAGAAAAAACCATTTTATAGATCTTAACCTATCCTCGTATGACGACCTTTCCATCCGAGGCATCAACTTAGTAACCCTTCTCTAAACCCTTTCCAACAATTTAATATCATTTCCAAAGTAATGAACCCAAGGCAGAACAGAGTTTATTTTTTTTAAATTTCCACATTTGATCAGTATCTCCAATCAATTCACAACAGACAATTCTTGCCTCAGCCCTTCAATGTTTTAAGACTTGGAACAAAAATCTCATTATTCCTTACCTCCATATGTAATAAAACATCAAATCAAATTGGGCAATGATCACTTGCATCCAGATGTTTCCCTGTCTCCATTCTATCAAGATTTTTTTTATTAGGTTCCCTGACCAATCAGTGAAGAAAACATCTTTAACAGTTTCTCAAAACCTGTCTCCCTCATGGTTCGACTCTAACATTTCTCGATCTACATGTCTGAAATTAAATTCTCCCATAAGTAAAATGTTTTAGAACCTAACATCAGACAAGCAATACCCCAAGAATATTCAATAACATAAATTAGAAATATCCACACTAGGATTACAGATAAAATAAAATTGCAGCAAGCATGTTTAGCAGAAATACCAGAACTAGCTATCGGTGGTTCGTATTTCTGCACTACTTCCGAGTTCAAAATAAATTTATAACCATGCGGTGCTTTAATTCAGGATACACCTTGTGTATCCCAAAGCTTTTTGTATTGTGGAGCATCTTTTTCTTGCCGTACTTCACATGATGCTGAAATTGTTGGTTGTAATTCTAATTTCACAGTCTTGCAAACAGTAACGAAGAATGGCTGACTGATTATAGAGTGTATTTTGTGCATACTCTTTAATTTTTGAGCTCTTATAGCCATGGCTAAATCTGAGACATGTGAATTTGTAGATTACTTAAGAGTGATGCATTTTAGGGATCCTGTCATTAAATTTGCAATCATAACACACGTAGTATGTCTTGGGGCTGTGACGGATATATTATTATATATTTATTTTAATATCGATGTTTGTTTAAATTAAACTTATATTTAGAAATGTACATAACTTATACTGTTAAATATGTATTGCGAAACTTTTGCATATTCTCTAAAGTTGTAGAAGATTCTCGAGTGTAAAAATCAACAATGTATGTATGTACGTAAAGGCTTGTGTTAGCGTCAGTATTGTTATCTATCTATATACTACTAAATCTCTGAGATTGTTTGTTTGTTTGTGTGCTTGGCTGTAATTAAATACGGCAAAAACGGCGCACAATAGCACCATATTTGTAATGGAATGAGAATGGAAACAGAATAAAATAAGTTTCGTTAAAATCGGGTCACGGGTTACCGAGTTAGCGCCGTTTTTCGGGTCACTTTTATGGAAATTTCTAGATTAATTTAAGTACGCTAAATGGCGTCACATATCGGTTTATCTATCTATATACTACTAAAACTCTGAGATTGTTAGTCGGTACTTAAATACAGCAAAAACGGCGCACAACAGCGCCATATTTGTAATGAAATGAAAATAGAAACAGAATAAAACAAG